CTGTCCCTCTCACCCAGACACTGACCAACCCCACCTGACCCTCTCACCCAGGTACAGACCAACACCACCTGTCCCTCTCACCCAGGTACAGACCAGCCCCGCCTGTCCCTCTCACCCAGGTACAGACTAACCCCACCTGTCCCTCTTACCCAGATACAGCCAAAGAAGACTCCACAGCTGAAGCTTTGTTTCTTTTCTTTTCTTATCAGCATGAAATAAATCTTTACTTGTTCCTTTGCAATTGATGCAGCTGCCTACTTGACCTAATTCTGAAATGTCATTTTTGAATAATAATGGCTCTTGAATTGCAGTGATAATTCAAGAGTTGTAAAAGTTTGTAACCTTGTGTGTTGTGATAGTGGTGAATTTTGACGGGGTTAGTGTGGGCAGTGCTCATTGTCATGTCATCAAGGCCTGTATTAAATATTCAATTCAAAATACATTATTCATCCCCAAGGAAGGCAATTTAAGCAGCACCCTGCAACGTGCAACATACAGTATATAAAAAAACAGAAATAGCAGATGGACCATAAAACGATTTTGAAAGTAACAGTGTACATAGCAAGGACTCTGTCCTACACTACAAAATAAATACAAATCAGATCATAAGGTATTTAATAAAGTTATTAAAGTACATATGCATTTGTAGAGATTGCTTTATCCAATAGAGATCATACTGATAAAACATCTTTACACTCGTTGTTTCTGAGCCCCCAGTGGCCTCTGAAAAGTTACAGTACATTTGTTTTGCGAAAACATCTTTCTGAAGGCAAAAGTACAGAAGACTGATGAGATGTGTCTTCAGTGATGGCTTCGGGCCTCCCTCAGGATCTGATGGACATACAGCTGTGCCAGAGGTCTCAAAGGCTCAGCAAGGATTTTAGAGCTGAGTTTGAAGGAGGTTTTTTTCTTTTTTGACTGACTGATGTGTAACAACAGATAAAGGAAAAAGTTAAAATACTTCTGATAAAAGAGGTATGGGTGTTGATAGACTTCCTTTTTGGACTTGGAAGGAACTCAGGTTTCCTCAGAACATGTGAGCGCTGCTCAGATGTCTTCACAATGACATCTGTGAACTTAATTTTATCATCAAGCACAGCGCTCAGATATGTGTAACTGTGAACTATACCAACAGACACACAACAGGATTGCTCTTGCTTTGTTTTTTTTTAAATCAATCAATCATTTATCTTGTTTTAAAAACAATAATCTCGAGGTTAAGATGTATCCCACCGGTTGACCAATCCGTCCAAAATGGGTCCAACAGCTCTCTCTTGGTCATACTGATCTCTCTGACTCGTTTCCTTCTAATTCTCTCTATTCATTTGCAGGTTTTGACTTCACACCTCTCTTCATCTCTCTTGACTTCACACCACCCGAGTGTCGATACTCCTTCTCTCCTGCTCCCGCCTCTTTTCCACTCCTGGTTTTGCTTTCCTATGCTTTATTAACTACCAGTTTTCCTCTGTCCCTCACACTAGAAGAAGGCTCCACTGTTGAACCTGTCACGATCGCTACTGCGTCTGGCTCCGTTATTATTTTAACCTTCTGTTCCTGATCCCCCCAGCCGGTTCCGACCCGGTTCCCGTTCTTTATTCCCCGGGATGGATCGCCTGGCCATGGAAATTAGGTTCTGTCTTGGATTACCCGTTCGGACTTCTACATGGATTGTTCACCCCGGAATCACTCCCCCTGGACACGTGCACCCCTTGGACATGCCCCCTGTCTCCAGACCCTCTCCTGCATGAATTTTTCACCAGTGTTTCATCACTTATCCGGATCGTGTCATCTGCATAGGGCCCAGAACGGACTGTTCGTGACAGAAACATTTTGTCTCTTTTTAGCACGGAGCAAACCTTTGCTTGTTCCTATTACAGTGCAATGTTCTCAGAGTCTGTATTAAACCCTCTCTCTCTGTCTCCTTCTCTCTCCAGCTCTGTGAACACCAGTGAATGGAGAGTGTTCCTGGGCAGGCAGAACCAGACGAGCTCCAACACCTTAGAGAAATCCACTGGAGTCCTGAACGCTTTCACCAGCAGCCTTAGTGGCACCAACATCGCCCTCCTGAGACTGGACACCAATGTCTCCTTCACAGACTACATCCTGAGCGTCTGCCTGGCAGGGGCAGGAATCACATTCACCCCTGGCACTCAGTGCTGGGTCACTGGCTGGGGCAACACAACTGCTGGTGAGTCAGGCTGGAAGCTTCCCCTTGAAGGTCTATGAGGAGTCCGTTTCTTGATTGCAGACATGATGAAAGTGTTTCACACAGCCTGAACCAGCTGCACAAATGGGGACCAGTGTTTTTTAGCGGGGGGTAAAGTGGGGTATCATGTGTTCCAGAAGATGCTAAAATTGCTGTGCTTCTCTGTTCCTTTAGCGCTCCTCCAGGAAAAAAGTACAACAATCGTCCAGTGTGACAACGGGTCTTCAGCTGACACCATCTGTACTTCTCCTCTGGACCTGGAGCAGGTGAGCACACCTCCATCACAACTCTTCTCTCAGTTTCAGACTTTATAGATATGATTAGAAATGGGCAGTTTTATTTTTGTAACCCCACTAGCTATGACTCTTGACTGGGATGTGGACAACACACACTGTCGAAGCACAGCATTGGGAGCTCCGCAGGGCCCTGGTTGGGCTCTGGGAATGATGCAGCTGTTTTCAGCAAAACTGAAGTTAATGGGGGGATAGGGGGGGTCCTTTTGCACAACCACCTGAGGAAATTCTTGCCAATGAAACCCCACACAACTCCAGTGGCACCCGTCCAGCTCTGAACTGCTTCTCGAGGGAATCCAGGTGACAGCTGGCGAGCAGTCTCGCAGAGCTCCTGCTTCCAGGCAAAAGGGTTGGCACACGCCTGGACTGTGAGAGTGCGGCACCCTTGTCAAGCAGTGATGGGGCACCAGGCAGGCAAGAAGTGGAGTGTTGGTGTTTGGGTATGCCCAGGGGCCGTCCCATGTTTCCCCTCCCGGGTTTGTACCCTGAGGTTCCCACCCTGACCTGCCGGGCCTCTGTCAGTCGGGATGCCTACCTTCAGTCTGTGTTATCGGTGGCTTTCTTCCTGCTGGTTGGTGGGAGCAGTCCTTTTAAGGAGAGCAAAACTACACTGTTCTGTGAAATAAGAGCACTTCTATTCCCAATCTTCTGTGTGTTTGTGGCCTGTGCTACAATATTATCTGTTGGCAATATCGGTCGTAACAGCCGTCCATGAGGTCTCCCAGTGTCGTCCATGAGAGTTGCGATGCTCCTCTTATCCATACAAACTAAATGCAACACTGTGTGGAGCTCAGAGTGTCATGTGGCAAGCTGCCAGTACATGGGATCTGTGGAAATTCCTAAAAAGGGAAGGTGAACGCTGAAAAATAAGGAGGAATTCCAAATCTTGAAACAAAAACAAGTTATTCTCCGCCTGACTCAGTTAAATCTTATTGGCCCATGTTAATGAGATGAGCGGAATTCCTGTCCTTCCTAACGTTAACCCTAATCTCTCTTTTCTCTGTCCAGGGAAACTCAGGGGGTCCCCTGGTCTGCAAGTGGGCCTCCATGTGGACTCAGGTCGGCGTCCTTGTCGTCGAAGACCCCACTGCCGTGACCAAAAGTGGCAACCGTGCGGTCCAGTTGAGTGCGTTCGTGAAGATACTGCGGTTTGTAAATTTCCTGCAGAAGAACGTGGGTTCCAGGCTGCCTCTTGTCTCCTCTAACACGGCGACGACGAGCAACAGCGCCACTTACACCCCCCTCCCCCACAGCGCCCTCCTCCTGGCTGTGCTCCACCCTCTGCTGACTGCCTGGACCTCTGCACTGTGACCCCCTGTGCATTTATAGGAGAACTGCAGTTCCATTGTCCCAGACTGGTTATTAAATCGTGGTAACAATATACATTTGTTGATGGCATATAAAAAAATGTACAGATTTCGAATTATATAAAATAAGATATCGCTAACTATCACTAACTATGTGAAAGTAGTGCGCTTCGCCATGTTCCCATTTGAGTTCCCACGAATTGTGACATGAAGTGGCCCTTCCTGCTCACTAGTCACTGTGATGACTGATGTAATGCGATGTACAAGCGAATGAGTCCAGGTTGTGTAGCAGACATTTCACTGCAGAAATGTTACCACGTGATCTGCACGCCGAGTTAAGAAGTAGTATTTGTCGGTAAAGCTGTCTTGAAGTCAAGAGCAATATTTCTAGTGGATTAAAAGAGAAGGATTCACAAGCCTGCTTGTTTACGGTGTCATAGGGCCGCAACATCACTTCGTTCTGAATCGCAGAACATGGCGCTGCTCACACCTGAAAATGAATTCTATTTTGTGATGTAAATGGGCGGTTTCACAAGTTACCGTGTGCATTTTGACTTTCGTTGCTGTTTGAAATGCGCTCAGTGATGCTATTTCTTCCTAAACCCAACATATGTGTCCAGATCCAAGATCTAGAACTGCTGTCTTATCTTCAAGAGCTGCAAGTCCCTGCAAGTGAGTACCAAACCCACTCTGCCTGATACCACGGGCATTCGAAGTCTTATCGGCCCAGGGATGAAAAGTCGGGGAAACTGGCCTATCTCAGGCTATGAGCCATCCCCCACTCCTCCTCTGCTGATCCAGCCTCTTCAGGGACTGACGAGCTCCAGAGCACCCTGATCCACACTGGGCTCCCCCCCCCCAGATTTCCACAACTAGGCGGTGCTTCCGAATGTACAAGTCACACAGATCAAGAACAGAGCCAGGATCACTCAGGTCCCCACTGGGGATATATTGTACTTTGCTGTCTCCAGTGGGCAGGTTCACGGGAGCATGTACTGTAGTAGACCAGCTCAAGAAGGGGAGGTAATTACAGCGACCTGCCACTAGAGGTTGCTTCAGCCTTCTAATCTTGATAGTCTCATAAACTTTTGATTATTCTGTTTAGATGGCATCCGGGGTGCAGATTGTTCTTGCACATGAATTACATGGGTGTAGTAAAGTTTGGGTTTGGTATATAAAGGGTGTGCACGGTGCTAGTGGTGATTGGGACTTTTTAAAGCCTTTCTCTGCTTGCTATCTGGAAAAGGGCCTCTTGGACTTCAAGCCTCTTGCACTTCACCTTCCTTGGCCATCATGTGCTTTTGTGTGCAGACCCTTGGGGCAGTGTAGGGGCAGCCACAGAGAGCTTTCACAGAGGTTTAAGAAGCCTTTCCAAACTGGTCTTCATCAGCAAGGTCTGTAAAAGTGTTTTTGTGTTTTGAATGACGGATATACAATTTCTGTGTACCTCCCGGACAGGAAGGAATCTTATCGAGCTTTTATCTTGCAATTTAATTATTGTAATTGAAATTGCAAGGGATTTGAATGTACAAAAATATATTTTCAATTGCTGTCATATGTTATATATGGTTAGCATATTTTCCTGCATTGTACATTGTTTCAAATAAAGTTAACAGGTGGGGCAGCACAGTGGCCCTGTTGGTGAGTGTTCTTGCCTTATAGCTCTTGGGTTAGCAAAGCACAGCAGTAAGGCCAGAGTGAGCACAGGGGTGAGATCAAGTGTTATACAGCACACCATAGCAGTAAGACTAGAGTGAGCACAGGGGTGAGATCCAGTGTGATACAGCACACCATAGCAGTAAGACTAGAGTGAGCACAGGGGTGAGATCCAGTGTGATACAGCACTCCACAGCAGTAAGACCAGAGTGAGCACAGGGGTGAGATCCAGTGTGATTTCAGAGGAATTCGATTTTTTTCTTTACAAGATTTCCAACTACATAACCTACTGAATTAGTTTAATTGAAATGCCTTTACTCAAAGCAATAATCTAGTCTCATAACAGAAACTACTATTTTTTCTCTGCGAGTTAAATGTTACCTAACAAATCAACACAGCTCTTGCTGAATAAGAAAATACATTTATTTAAACTTGTTTTTACTTTTAAAATACAACGGCTACAAATTACACGAGATTTCCTTTGAAATTTGCACAATCCACTGAGTTCAATGGCGACGATGTTAGACAGCTATTCCTACGTGATACATTTAGCTCTTTTTCTTGTTGCACCCTAGTTAACAAACATCATTTTCAAATAAGAAATAAAAGCCGAAGAGTTCAGAAAATACAGAACTGCCATGTTGATACTGATCTATGATTTTCATTAAGTTGAGGAAGACGAAAAGACTAGTAAAAGAAAGAAGTAAAAGATAACCATAGCTTCAAGCCTGCGTTGATTTGTATGGCTTCATTTGGTGAATTCATAATTATGCTTTTAACTGCTGTGAAGAGACAAATAAAATGCCATTACCTCTGTTCTAAAAACAACGACAGCAATCATAATAATACAATTATTAATATTGTTGGCGCTTACATTACTGTCCGTCCTTGATGTAGCCCTGGAATCACCCTCCTCTCACTAAAAAGTGCGACCAACGGACCTAGCAGTTTCGAAGTGGTCACCACGAACAGTGTTTTAAAAAAAAAGTTTTTTTCCCCGCGTTTCCTATAAAGGAGTTGTTAGACACGTCCCACACCCAACCAGGCCTGGGAGTTGCCATGACTCCGCGCCGCGAAGTGTCGTCATGGCAACAGGCGACATCCGGGCCAATACAAGACGTGCTGCACGGCTAAAACGTTCCCGGAGTTGAAGGAACGGAAATGGCTCAGCCGTTTAGATCGCTTTCGGCGCCGGCCGCTGGCTCAGGTGCAGTAGGCGACCGCCTCACCAGGCGGCACAAGGTCTATTGCTTAATAGGCACGTTCAAAGGCGAGTCACAAATCCCCTCCAGTGGCTCTTTCTGTCGCCGTTGTGCTGATCTAGGCTGTTAAAAGTTTGTACTCCATAAATCGTGATATTGTAGCGTTTTTAAGTTCCCACAGGACAAAGGACAAGTGGGGACAAAATAGCAAACCAAGCCACTGCTTCTATTCTCGCATTAAAAATACACACCAAATCTAAACAGAGGCGAGGGACACACGCACACATAAGGAGACCGACGGAACACATACACTTGGTTAGGGTGGTCACTCGTTAACTACAGGCTATACACTTATAAAGCTATACAGGACACTAAACCTACCATAACACTATTCACATACACAGGGTCAGCGGCTGGTCATCCTGCTGACCCTCAGACCCCCCCGGCTACAGCTCCCAGCTACAGCTCCCAGCCTGCTTCGCGGTACCCTGAGCGCCAAGGTGCGCTTCCTCCTCACCACCCGGCGAGGGCGCTACAATATTATTAGTCGCGAATGAAGTGGTTGATTTCACTGTTAATGTAGCTAATGACTCTCATCTTCGCCGAAAATTGACAAAATCAGTGCGGTTTCAGCTGCTGCTACACCGAATGCTGTTCGTTTCATTTGGAAAAGTCATAGTGCTGTGATGATGATCGATTTTATTAATCTTTCATTACGTCTAACGTGTGATGAAACACTACAAGTGGCCTTTTTTTTGCTGGTGTTGCAATATAGGTTGTAATAGTTTAAAATTCAAATAATGTAGTCGCAACTGGTTAACGTACATCATCCTGCAAAAGGACACATATCGGCATATAGCTACACAGGTATATAAAAATACATTAAACTAAACTGAACAATGAAATAAATGTGTTTACTTAATTGTTCTCAATCGTGAAATGAGTCTGGGGAGGGGGCTGATGAGAGTAGTGGTTGTGCAAATGGTGAGGTGGACGGGCCCCTGTCCAAGATCTTGCCTAAAAAGTTGACGCCGGTCCTGCCCGTGTAGCGTGCTATTGGAACGGTCAGTTCCCCCTCTGCATTGTCTCTATCAGCGTGTCGGTGAAGAAAGAGACACGGATCAACTGTCTTACCACGGCTCTTTATAGCTGGAGAATATGAGGGCCCACACATTAAACGGGCCACCCCAGTGTGGAAGACCGGGTGAGATGAACTCTTGATGAAGGCTAAGGAGAAGAGGTTTTCTGGCTGTTACGGATGAAAAAAGGGCGTGGCAAATTCATTATTTTCAGAGTCTGTTCAGCGGTACAGATTATGGATCTTACTGGATGAGTGGGTGGTAATAGTGTCATAAATGGAAATAGAAGGAGGAATGGCGGATGACTGAGATGCGCAGGTGAAGCAGGCTGGAGGTGGCAGACGGGTCTGATGTGAAGTCAGGAAGGGTTGATGGGTGAGTAACGATGGGAGTCTCTTGAAACTGGAGGACTATGAACTGGGTAAAAAAAACACGATTAGTTCGTGGAAGACCTGGGACGGACAGACATAGTAGTGACTCCACGTCGGAGCCCTGAGGTTGTGTGAGGTGCCGTCACCAAGCAGATCTGCCCGGCCTGAACTCGTTAGGGATGGCCTTGACGACCTCCTTCCTCATCAAGGGCATCACACTGTCACTCTGCAACTAACGCCTGCGATTTTCACACCTGTGTGTTTTACCAGAGAGGATGAAAACACATTTCAGGATGCCCAATGGAATAATCCTGTCCAGCTTTGTTGTTGTTTGAAAAACTTCTGTGAGTGTCCCATGTCTTGCGTTTTCCTTTGATATATTAAAGTCTGTATAAAATGAGAAGTGTAACTATGGTCAGGCGAGCATATTGACCGAGTGCTAGAAGAAACGCTGACTCTGGGCTATGCTCCCCTTCAGCTGATTAAATAAGAGATCTCTGCTTGACAATCTCTTAACCCGAGGGAAGACTGAGTTTTCTTTGACACCAGGGACTCCTAGTAAACTAAACACGTAGAAAATTTTACTAGCTACCACTAATCACTGCCCTCAGCCTGGTCGTGTTCTGTTTTTTTTAATTTTGTTTTTACTTAGAAATTAGTTTAAAAAAATATTTTATTAGAAACAGAGATCGGGACAGTCATTACATGGGCAACTCCTACAACCTCTCTGCCACACCCTAATCCCCTAAAGGAGGAAAAAGAAAAAAATATACACATATATTTACCTCTCGGAAAGAATATATATATACACACACACAAATCTGAACTCCAAGTAAGTTAAACACGTAGTGGATATATCACAAGGTTCAACCAATCTCAACCAAGCCTTCAGCCTGGTCATGAATATTTCAGAAAATATTCAAACCGAAAGACACAGAGATCACCTCTCTAAGAAGAGGGCGCTCACTGGGCGGGCTACTCCGGCAACCCCAACCTGAAGCGTACCGAGTCACATAAAAGCCGAGGCCAGACATCCGCAAATCCCCCCGTCTCGCAATTCCAGCGCCCACATCCCACCCCCCAGTTCAAACAACCCAAAGGGATTAAAACTGGAAGACACAATAAAGGGAACAGCCTGCCTCCTCAGCACGCGCGCGCTCCAGGCAGGAGGAAGGACGATCTGGGCCGGTGTGACTTCATGAACGGTCTCTGCCCAGCTGCCACAAGTTTGGCGAGAGTAGAAACTGTGGGAATCATTTGCAAAGTTATCGCCATTTCAATTTATCTACCGGGATGTAAAATATTCCAATACAAAATCTCACCCCAAACTTAACCACATTGCATTGATATTAGCATTGCAATTTGCACGCACTCCCCCTTCCTCCCCGCTGGGAACAGTGTTGATGCCATCGCTCTGCAAAGAGCCCACTCCTTCACAGAAAACTATTTACAGATCCCTTGTAGTACAGTGGACCAGATTCACTCTGTACCAACCAGCAGTCAGGACACCTCTACTCTTACTGACAGTGTCCTGGGACCTGTACTGACCAGCAGTCAGGACACCCCTACTCTTACTGACAGTGTCCTGGGACCTGTACTGACCAGCAGTCAGGACACCTCTACTCTTACTGACAGAGTCCTGGGATCTGTACTGACCAGCAGTCAGGACACCCCTACTCTTACTGACAGTGTCCTGG